CAGGCACTTGCTTTTTATAGTTTTATCATCAAAGGGTATAACCCTGAAACAACAAATTATGTAGTTTTTCATGTTTTTAAAGCCCAATAAAATTGTGATCACATAGTTATTTTCTCCTACAATTATCCCTTATCTTTCTCTGCATACAGGTTTATGAAATTTATTCATGTTGATATATATAGTTGCAGTTTATTTCCACTGCAATATTGTACTCTATTCTGTGACTAAAACACAATTTATTCGTTCAGTTTCTTGTCAGTGAGCATTTGAGTTACCATTTTTCCTTTTATTAATTCATTATAGTTATATGTGATAGTTGGGTTCGTTTTGACAAAATCATTCACACACGGCAATCGATTTACTCCATTTCAGTGCTTAGTTTCTCTTCTTTCCAATCCTTCCTTCCTCCCCCTATTCTCTTTCCTTTACTCTGCTTGTCTTCATTTCATTTGCTTTTTTATTTTTGATTGGCGTTTTATAGATATACACAAAGCTACATAGCACTTGCTGTGTATATCTCTAGATGCAAAAATGTGTGATTTTTAAAAATTCATTCTACATTTCTTCCCCTTTCCTGTTCCTTCTCTCTCCCACTCAGTCTCTTTCTTCTCCTCCACTGCTTTTTCCTATATTCTTATGATATCTGATCCCTACACTTTTCCCCTTCATTTTCCTCTAGCTTCCACATATGAAAGAAAACACTTGGCCCTTGATTTTCGGGGACTGGCTTATTTCACTTAGCATGTTGTTCTCCATTTCCATCCATTTACTGGAAAATACCATACTTTCATTTTTCTTTATGATTAAAGAGTATGTGTATTTTCTTTATCCATTCATCTATTGACAGACATCTGGTGTGGTTCCATAATTTGGTAATTGTGAATTGTGCTGCTATAAACATTAATATGGCTGCATCCTTATAATATGGTAATTTTAGTTCTTTTGGATAAATACTAAGGAGTGGGATAGTTGGGTAATATGGTGGTATCATTCTCATTCTTTTGAGGAATCTCCATATGGCTTTCCAGAATGGTTGTACTAATTTGCACTCCCACCAAAAATGTATCAGTCTACCTTTTCCCCTACATCCTCAATGGTGTCTATTATTATTTGTATTCTTGGTAATTGCCAACCTGACTGGGATAAGATGAAATCTTAGTGTAATTTTGATTTCATTTCCCTGATTGCACGAGATGTTGAACATTTTTTTTTCATATATTTATTGGCCATTTGTATTTCTTCTTTTGAGAAATGTCTGTTCTCAAAAGAACATAATTTTTTTTTGGTATTTGCCCATTTTTGTTTTTTTTGGCATTAAACTTTTTGAGTTCTTTAAAAAATTTTTTTGAATACAATTTAATTTATTTATTTGTATGTGGTACTAGGGATCAAACCAGTGCCTCACACGTGCTAGGCAAGTGCTCTACCACTGGACTACAACCTCAGCCCCACTTTTGAGTTCTTTATATATTCTGGATATTAATCCCCTGGCAGAGGAGTAGCTGGTAAAGATTTTCTCCCATTCTGTAGGCTCTCTCCCCATGCTTTTAATTATTACTAGGCAGAAGTTTTTAATTTGATGGCATTCCACTTATTGTCTCTTAGTTTTTTTTCTTGAGTTTTAGGGGGTCTCATTAAGGAAGTTAGTGCCCGTGCCAACACCCGATGAAGTGTTGACTATATGTTATTTTTTACCAGTTGCAAAGTTTATGGTCTAATTTTTAAGTCTTTGATTCATTTTGATTTGACTTTTGTGCAGGGTTAGAGATAGAGCTCTAGTTTCATTCTTGTACATATAGCACCATTAGTTAAAAAGGCTATCTTTTCTTCGACATACATTTTTGGCACCTTTGTCAAGTATCAGATGAGTGAGTATGTGAGTTTGTCTCTGTGTATTCTATGCTATTCCATTGTCTTTTGCAACTATTTTGATGCCAATACCATGCTGTTTTTGTTACTATAACTGAGTATAATTTGAGATCAGTTGTTATGATGCTTTTAGCATTGCTCTTCTGCCTCAGGATTGCTTTGGCTAATCTGGTCTCTTATTCCTCCAAATGAATTTTAGGACTGTTTTTTCTGTGAAGAATGTCAGTAATATTTTGATGGTGATTCCATTGAATCTGTATAATGCTTTGGGTAGTATGGACATTTTGACAATATTAATTCTGCCTATCCAAGAACATAGGAAGTCTTTCTATCTTCTAAGGTCTCCATCAATTTCTTTCTTCAATGTTCTATAATTTTCATTGTAGAGCTCTTTCCCCTCCTTGGTTATATTAATTCCCAAGTATTTTATTTTATTTTATTTTGTGATTATTATTAATAGGTTAGTTTTCCTGATTTCCTTCTCAGCATAATCACTGTTGGAGTATAGGAAAGCTATTGATTTATGAATGTTAATCTTTTATCCTGCTACTTTGCTGAATTAATTTATTAGCTCTTGAAGTGTTTTGAAGCTTTTTGGTTTTCTAGATATCGGATAATGTCATCAGCAAACAGAAATAATTTGGCTTATTGTTTCCCTATTTATATCCTTTTAATTTCCTTCTCTTGTCAGAATGAATGAATGCTGGATTTTATCAAAGATCTTTTATGCATTGAGATGAAACAAGATTTTGTCCTTAACTCTATTTATGTGGTGAACTATACTTATTGATTTGTGTATGTTGAATCAAACTTGCATCCCTGGGATGAAATCCACTTTATAATGGTGCATTATCTTCTGGATGTGCTTTTGAATGTAGTTTAATCATATTTTATTAAGGATTTTTGCATCTATGTTCATCAGAAATATTGGTCCGTAATTTTCTTTCTTTGATGTGTCTTTGTCTGGTTTTGGTAGCAGAGTTAAACTGGCTTCATAAATTTGGAAGTGTTTCCTTCCTTTTAATTTCATGGAATAATTAAGAAAGACTGGTGTTGTTAGCTCTTAAAAAGTCTAGTAGAACTTAGCTGAGGATTCATCTGCTCCTGGGCTTTTTTTTGTTGGAAGAAATTTCTGCTTCAATATCTTTACTTGATATTGGTCTTTTTAGGTTTTTTATATCTTCCTGGTTCTACTTGGACATGTCATATGTATCTAGAAATTTGTCAATATCTTCTAGATTTTCCAGTTTATTGGGAATATAAATTTTCAAAATAGTTTCTAATGGTCCTCTGAATTTTAGAAGCTTCTGTGATGATATCTCCCTTTTCATGATTTTGATGATTTGAGTATTTTCTCTCCTTTTTGTTAGTTTGGTTAGGGGTTTGTCAATCTTATTTATCTTTTCAAAGAACAAACTCTTTTTTGGCATTGATCTTGTGTATTTTTTTATTCTCAATTTCATTATTTTTAGCTCTTAATTATTCCCTGTATTCTGCTGTTTTTGGAATTAGTTTGTTCTTCCTTTTCTAAGGTAGAGCATTAGATTATTTATTTGGAATCTTTCTATTTTTTTAATGTAGGCCCTCAGTGCTACATATTTTCCTCTTAGAACTGCCTTCATATTGTCCCACAGATTGGATAGATTGTATCTCTGTTCTCATTTGTTTCTAAGAATTTTCTTTCTTCTCTCATTCTTTTATGATCCATTCTTCATTTAAAAGAGTATTGTTCAATCTCCGTGTGTTTATATTATTATATTATTTTTCTTGCTATTGATTTCTAATTTTATTCCATCATGATCTGAAAGGATGTACAGGATTATATAATTTTGTTTTGTATTTGTTAAGACTTACATTGTGGCCTAAAATATGATCTATTTGGAAAAGGTTTTATGACCTGCTGAGAAGAGAGTAAATTCAGTTGTTTTGGGGTGAGATATTCTGTAGATGTTTATTATGTCCATTTGATTTACTATTTAGGTTTGAAATCTCTTTATTGATTTTATTTGGATGACCTCTTCTATTAGTGATAAGGATGTGTTGAAATCACCAGTGTTTTTTTTTTTAACTGTTTTTCTGACATTAACATAATAGTACTGAGAAACTATTGTGACTCCATTTTTGAGAAACCAGCCTCTACCTCAGAGCAAAGCCTGTCCAAGGAAGGGGGCATGACCCTTGTCCTTGGAAAAACCCACAGAGCACTCCTAAGCACATACACACCCTGCTGAGTTGTTTGTCTACAAATAACAGGAGAGATCTGCAGCACCAGGTGTCCCTGACTCAGTTAGGCTAGGTGAGGACCCATAGCAACCAACCCCCCTAGCAACTACTAATCATCATGAGACAGGGAAAATACCTGGATGCCAGATGATCCCCCAGTAGTTTATGGTGGTTGATAACAGGTTGGGAAACCATGTAGTTTAGCATGTACACCCTTCTTGGCCTAAACCAATCAATTCAAAGGAATCCCCCTCTTGTACTAACCAATCACTCCTACCCAACTTGTTCCCGCCATTGAATGTGCTAATCAATGTTAAGAGTTGTTGTTTGACTTTCCTGTGGTATGGAATGATTTGCTGTGTGATGTTGTGGCACATACAGTATCCCCCCAAAACCTATAAAAATCTCACTGAACAAAGGATAGGGACTCACTCCCTGGGACCGCTGCATTGAGAACAGTTGTGAGTCCAGGCTGGAGCTTGCAATAAAGACTCTTGTGTGATTGCATCGGATTCGGCTCCTGGAGGTCTACTGGGGTCCCACGAATCTGGCATAAACAGTACAAATCTCCTGAGTAAGAATTTCTTTAGGGATATACTTTGGATGAAATTGCTGAATCACATATTCAACTTTATTTGAAGTTTTGTAGTGTTTTCCAAAGTGGTTTAAAACAACTTATACATTCACAGAAGTACTTAAGAGTTGTTATTATTCCACACCCTTATCAATACTCCATATTAGGGGGCTGGGGATGTGGCTCAAGCGGTAGCGCGCTCGCCTGGCATGCGTGCGGCCTGGGTTCGATCCTCAGCACCACATACCAACAAAGATGTTGTGTCTGCCGAGAACTAAAAAATAAATATTAAAAATTCTCTCTCTCTCACTCTCTCTTAAAAAAAAAACTCCATATTAACTAATTTAAAATTTTTGCCAGTGACATCATTCTACAGATGGCTGAAAATATTTTTATCTTTTAATCTTTTTATCCTGATTTCATTTTCAGGTTCAACTTTAACCTCAATTTGCATGGGTGATGCACCTTTTTTACATCACTCATACTTTCTATCTATCATTTAGAAATAAATCTACTTCCCAGATGCTGAGTAAAGTGCTGGATGAGGTTTAGGTTGACTGAAGAGTAATAATGATGATTTATCAGCATGGAGCCATCTGATTTGTACATTGGCACATGTTTATTTACTCAGCATTCTTCTCTCTCATTTCCCTCAGTTATATCTATCCAGCTTCCAAAAACATCAAGTTATTTCCTGGGGGATCAAGCTTCTGAGATTTCCATCCTGCAATACTTAAAAGTAGCATATGATCCTTTGCATATTCACAATTTCACCTAGGAAAAAAAGGGACTGACAACACTTTTTAGGATGTAATGGTGGTGGGAGAGAAGGAGTCCTGGTTATTAGTAGTGGTTATTAGTAGTAAACATGGTAATGGGAAAAAAATGAAACAGACATGTATCTGAATTAAAATTCAGCCATTCTTAATATTAAATCCCTGAAAATAACATTATAATGCAAGTATTAATGGAATTAATAATATTGTTAAATTCTTAGGCTACTAAGAATTTATTCATCACAGCAGAGAGGAAGGGGCTGTTATTATCCCCATGTAGCTAAGGAAACTAAAATGTAGAGATATTATCTTGCCCAAGGACCCAGGAAATAACTGGAACAATATAGCTAATATAGAGATAAAAAAAAATAGGCAAATAGACTTTATGTTTTTGAATGATGCCAAGACTTTGAAGTTCTTTTACTTTTCTTATTTTATTTTAATCATATTTCTATTTTCTGTAAACCAGAAGCCCCACTCCAAAGCCCTATTCTTAGATTTCTGGCAGCTTGGACATCTACCCAGATGACTGGTATTCCAATCTTTTTTCTTTTCAAAGTACTCACTTGTAGGTGGCAGTGTTAGTTTCAAATCCTACTTTGCATTTTTCTGGGGAAGATTAGAAAAAGCCATCTGCTTAGCATTACCCTGAAAAATTCTTCTCTGAGTGGAACTTCCTTAAGAAAAAATTGTAAGAGAAGAGTGTGGTACAAAGTTAGACAGAATACAAATTGAAAAATTTAGAAACTAAAGCATTAAATTCTAATCCATAGGAAAATTATCTTTCTGTATAATGAACTGACTTTTCTTCCAGCCTTTTTTTTCTTCACTTTTTTTTTCTTTTTGAGGAGAGATTCTTTCAAATGAACTCCTTGTCCTTGATAACAATTTTCTACCTCCTATTGAGGTTTAACCTTATTCACATACAACTTCTTTTGGTCTTGAATTTTGAGCTTCTTCTTAATATAGCTGTCATTTCTATTCACATTTTCTTCACTGCCACCTCTACCTCTCAAATGGTGACATTCTTTTTGTAAGTGTTGGCCTAGAACAGAATCTGGAGAACAGTGGGTGCTCAATACTAATTAATTACTGATTGACTTGCTGACTAATTGAATAAATGAACAAATGAGTGAATAAAAACCTTACCAAAGCCTGGCATGGTGGCACACGCTTGAAATACCAGTGACTTGAGTGGCTGAGGCAGAAGAATCTCAAGTTCGATGTCATCCTGTGCAACCTTGAGACTCTGTCTTAAAAAGAAAAAAAGGGCTAGGGATGTTGCTCAGTGGTAGGGTACCCCTGTGTTCAATCCTTAATACCACACACAATAACAACAACAACAACAAAAACACCTTACCAGGAAGTAAAGAAACAAGACTACGGGAATAAATGTGAAACATATCCTTATTGACTAAGTATTATAAAGTGTTTATAATATTAATTGAATTTTTTTAACATATCCCTAGAATTTATGAACCTTTACAAAACTACAGAAAGCTTACACAGCTATATAATTTCAGGACATGGCTTAAAAACATAAAATGCTAATTAAAAAAAATAACTATTGGTTCAATGGAAAATATTTTTTGTCTAATTAATTCATTTAATTGCAGTTATTCTATCCAATTAGTAAACAACTACAAAGAAGGATATTTTAGATCCTCATTGCTTTGTCAATTGTTCTTCCATTTGCATAATTTATCTTTTAATTCCTTAGAATACTATTTTCCATTGGTTCTCTATAGTTTTCAAAGTAATAACAGTTAAGAACTCTGCTATTAATTTTGTTCATGTTGAATCATACATGTTAGGCAAACATTCCCTGTTGACAAATAAGAAAGGAAAATTGAGATAATTTACATTTATTTTAATTCTGATTTTTGTTTTCAAAAATTAATTTTAGGGCTGGGGTTGTAACTCAGTGGTAGAGCACTTGCCTAGCATGTGTGAGGAACTAGGTTTGATTCTCAGCAACACATACAAATAACTAGAATAAAAGTCCATCAACAACTAAAAAAAATTAATTAACATTTTTAAAAGCAACTTCCAGGCCCATAAATTTTATTTATATTATATACTGTAAATTTTAATTTTAAAATTTCCTTCTTTATATTTCTATATTTTCCAAATTTTCTCCAATAAGCCTTCTTCATTTTTTTAAAATCTTAGAAAGCAATACATTCTATTTTTTTCCAATTTTTATTGGTGCATTATAACTATGCAGATTAGTGGGATTAGTTGTTATGTATTTGTATATGTACACAATAGAATAATATACTTTTGTTGGGTTCATTTCCCAGTACTTCCCCTTAATGCATTCTAATTTTAAAAAGCTCATATAATCAGGGAATTGCTATTCAAATTTATACTTTCTTGTTGTAACTCCTGAGAGAATGGAGAGTCTAAGGTAGTTATTTCATTAAGAAATTTCCAAAAGTGAATGAATACAGACTATATGCACAGTGTTTCTATGTAAAATTTGTAATTACTTTCTTTGATCAAGGCAATTGCTTTCTATTTCAAGGAAATGTCTAAGTTGAAATCACATGCTGATATACTTAAAATAATTTAGTGTGTGTTAATTTCTTCCCTTTTCTATTTTTGGTACATCCATTGTCTTTTTATATGTAAAATGAGAGATAATTGCTAGACTATATTTTAGTATTTATACTTTCTTATCATTAGTTGAGATTATCCTACAACAAAGTGAGTAGAGATAGCTTGCTGTGTAGGATACACATTTTGAATTCCTGTGAATACTGTTCAACTCAATAGCCAATAAATGTCCTCAAACTACACACAGAATAATGTATTTTGAAAGTGTTTCAGGGAACCAGGTGTCATGGTACACCCGTAATCCTAGTTACTTGAGAGGCTGAGGCCAAGAATCACAAATTCAAGGCCAAACTGAGAAACACAGGGCAACAAAAATTTATCAGAGACATGTAGGAGATCACACTAGATAGTGAGAAGGTAAGTTTTTTTTTTTTAAAGATAGAAGAGAAAATTTTTTAATATTTATTTTTTAGTTATTGGCAGACACAACATCTTTGTATGTGGTGCTGAGGATCAAACCTGGGTCGCACGCATGCCAGGCGAGCACGCTACCGCTTGAGCCACATCCCCAGCCCTAGAAAAGGTAAGTTTTAATATTAAAATTCATCTAGCTTGGGTGGGGGTTGTGGCTCAGCTGTAGAGCACTCGCCTAGCACAGGCAAGGCACTGGGTTTGATCTTCAGCATCACATAAAAATAAACAAATAAAATAAAAAAGTATTGTATGTCACAGTCTGGCTGGGCACAAAATCACGAGCCACTCAAGCAGGAACAAACTTTATTTCCAAAACTCCCGAGAACGCCACGCACGCAGCCTTCTCCAGGGCCACGCCACACCAACCAGAAATCCCTCCTCCGGAAATCCCTCCTACCGCACTTCCCCAACCAATGGGAACTCTCCGGGAGTCCCAGGAGAGCTCCAAAGTAGCAGGCTAAGGCGGACAGCAGGGGTCTAATATCCAATTGAATGTACATCTTAACATAATCATTATCATCTCAATGGCTTGCTGGCGTCACCTTTCAACCAAAAATGCCATGCGTCATTCCTATTTGGCTATGGCTCTTAGAGATTGTGTCCAACTATAACAAATAAATATATATATATAAAGTCATATAGCTCATCCATACAAACACTTAATCTTGAAAATCTACCTCTGGTTTACTTACTCCTTCCTTATTAGAAAGAGAGCTATGTATCTCCTAGTGGCATTATTTTAAAAAGAGTAATTTCCTAAGATTTCTGTCAACCTTCTTTTTCTCTAACTGTAGAGAATGTGACTGATCCTTGTGGAGCATGCCAATAATTAATCCTAGCAGCTCAGAAGGCTGAGGCAAGATGGTGAGTTCAAAGCCCGTCTCAGCAGCAACTTAGTAAGGCCCAAAGCAACTCAACAAGACCCTGTCTCTTAACAAACAAACACACAAACAAAAGAAACCCTATTGAGCTACTTTATAACTTTCATATATATATATCACCAGTGTAATTTAGGATCTCTTTGTTTTTAGGAGAGGCAGTGGTCTTTGGTACTAGAGTTTGAATTTGGGGCACTTACCCACTAAGTCACATCCCCAAGTTTTTTTTTGGTTTTTTTTTTTGAGACAAGGTCTTGATAAAATGCAGAGGCTGGCTTTGAACTTGTGATCCTACTGCTTCAGTTTACCAAGTCACTGGGATTATAGGCATTCCCCACCATGCCCAGCCCAAACAGTTTATTTTCAAAGGCCCCTGAAGGGAGCCAGTATAACTTAATAGCTAAGCAGTTAAAAGTAACATGCTTGGAAACACATGTTCCTAACTTTGTATTCTCATTGCACTTTTAAACTACTGCTTGACCCTGGGAAACTTTTATTACAGCTCTGGTCTTCAATTTTGTCACTTATAAAATAGGAATAATAATAGAACTCCTTTAGTAAAATTGTTTATGGGGATTAATTGTGTGCCATATGTTTAGCCAGCTTTCTGTTACTGTGGCAAAAATACCTGCTATATATCGACTTAGAAGGAGGAAAGATTTATTTAGGCTCACAGTTTCAGAAGTTTTCGTCCATGATCACTAGTCTTCATTGTTTTGGGGCCTGTGGTGAGACAGAATGTTTTGGTGGAAGGACACATGGAAGGAAAGCTGATAACCTCATGGCAGGTGGAAGAAGCAAGAAAAGAAGAGAAGAAGAAGGGGCTGGGGACAACATATACCATTCAAAGACATGCCTCCATGACCTGCTTCCTCCAAACAGGCCCCACCTTCTAAAGTTACCAATACCTCCCAATGGTTCTACCATTGGGGACAAAGCCTTTAACACATGAGCCTTTGGGGGACATTCCAAACCCAAACTATAACACCATATACAAAGCACTTGGCATTCCCTTTAGTCAATCAATGTTGATTGAGCATTAAGATGTGCCAGGCAGTGTGCCAAGCACCTGTCTCAGGATCATTCCCTTTTTTACCTCAAATTTTCACCTCATTTATATTCCTTCCTCAGTGAAAGCTTCCTCTGTGCCATCTGAATTAATTCAGGTCCCCCAAGAGTGAATGACAATTTAGGATTGGACATGCAAGAGATTTATTGAGGGAGACCTCTGTGGAGGAAAATGGGGAGGAACCAGGAGTGGGCAGGAAAAGCCTCAGACACCAATGCTAGTTGGAGATCTATTCAAGGAGAGGAAGAAACAAGGATAATTAAATAGAAAGAGATTGCAGGCCTGTTCAGAGAAAGTTTTGGCTAGCTATAACTGCACATTAAAAGAGGTCTAAAATTAAAAAAAAAAAAAGGAAAGAGGTCTGAATTACACAGGAATGGACCAGCAAGCACTAGCAACCCCACTGTGCTCAGTCATTGGCTGGTTACAGTTGAGGACAATCATGGCCTCAGCCCCAAATGTGGTGGTAGATTCCAGAGACAGTAGCTGGGTTTGTCAATTAACTGTGACTTTTACTCAGGAGATATGAGTCAATACCTTTGGACATTATGTCCTTCATAATAGGTTAGATTCCCCCAGTTATTTGCTCATATAAGTAACATATATTTTCCTCCTATTATCATCATTAAAATTAAATTTCTGATTTCTAAATTTTAAAGGTCTCTTTCTCTGTCCCTGAATGATAACCTATGTGAGGGTAGTTGCTAGGTCAATCTTGTTCATCACTGCACCCACAAAATGCTCTAGAGGAGATGACCCATAATAAGTACAAGATACAATAGTAATTATTATTTTTATCTACTCTCTTTATTCTGTTCTACAAATTACTGCATTCATTTGAACTAGTCTTACATTTCAGTAAAAATCGTAGATTCCAGTTTAATGTTATTTTCTCTGGAACAACTTTATTTTCTTAAAAAAATTATCTATTGGGCTGGGGATGTGGCTCAAGTGGTAATGCGCTTGCCTGGCATGTGTGGGGCACTGGGTTCGGTCCTCAGCACCACATAAAAATAAATAAAGATGTTGTGTCTATCAAAAACTGAAAAATAAATATTAAAAAGTTCTCTCTTATCTCTCTCTCTTAAAAATTTATTTATTTATTCTAGTTTGTTATACATGATAGCAGAATGCATTTCAGTTCATAATACACATATAGAGCACAATTTTTCATGTCTTTGGTTGTACACAAAGTATAGACACACCATTTGTGTCTTCATACATGTACTTAGGTTAAGGATGTTCATCTCATTCCACCATCTCTCCTACCTCC